AGACATACAGAATGGAAGAATGTAGCAAATAAAGTTATAGCAGAGACAATCCCTGGAGACAGCTCAGATGAAAAGTCACACACACACACACACACACACATAAGTTGCTGAATCTCTGCAATAAATACACTCTAAGCCAACAGATAGTGGAGTCAACCAGACTGGAAAACACACTTACCTTATTTTTAATGTAAAGTAAAAGGACACAAGTGCAACTAATGTGACATTTTATTGTGGCAACGTTTCGCTCTCCAGGAGCTTTATCAAGCCATTACAAACAATACATGGACACAGAGGGTATATATAGGCTCAGAGTGAGGTGCAATACTAGTGGTAGTAGTAGTGACAAAAGTTGTAGTAGTAGTAGTAGTAATAAATGCACCTCACTCTGAGCCTATATATACCCTCTGTGTCCATGTATTGTTTGTAATGGCTTAATAAAGCTCCTGGAGAGCGAAACGTTGCCACAATAAAATGTCACATTAGTTGCACTTGTGTCCTTTTACTTTACATATTGTCGGTAATTCTACCAACCTTATTTTTAATGATGACCTGGTAAGAAATATAATATAAAAAACAACTAATTTTGATCATAATCTAATTGAAGTCCAAACTTATATACACAAGGGTCCCACTACGGTGGCCCGTGGCCTAGTGCCAAAAGTTCTCACTTCACACGGTGAGTGTCCGGGCTTGTTTCCTTACATCGGTTGTCCATGTTCGCCCATCAGTAAAATGGGTACCTGGGTGTTAGTAAGCTGGTGTGGGTCACATCCTGGGAAAAAAATTGAGCTAATTTGCCTGAAATAACATAAGTGGCTTTCTATATAGTAGTATGTCATTGATGTCAGCTAGGCCTGTATGCCATGTACATGTACTTGTAGAAATAAAGATATAATATTATTATTAAAATACATACAGCTGTGAGGGTGCCTTCATCAAATTCAACTTCAACAACAAGAACATCAACTGGAAACATGTTGGAAAGATGCCTTAAATAACATGGATCCAAACCAGTACCTTGAAAAGACTAACTTTCTGGCAGCTGAAGCATGCTCAAGGCATATTTCCCTAAGAAAAAAGAAGAGAAGAAGTAAACTAGAGAGAGAGATGCTCCCTCTACAGGAGAAGGCGAAGAATCTCTGAGCTCCTCAAAGGGGCTAGATTATCTAAAATACGGAAGAAAGCACCGACCAGGAAAGTGGAAAATATTGAGCTTAAGTTAAATAATTCATACAGGATCCAGGAGAGACAGGAGAAGCTAAAAGCAATTGGTGAAATTTAAAGAAATTAAAAATATTTCTTTTCATATGCCAAAAACAAGGCAATAACCACATTTAGTATTGGGCCCCTGTTCAGACAAGATGGAACTTAAACCGATGACAACAAAGAAATGAACAAGATACTGAAGTCTCCGTACGTCTCTGTGTTTAGTGAGCCATTAATCAGTCTAAAGATTGACAGTCCAAATGATTTTTTTCATGAGTAAGCCTCAAAATCCTGTCAGTGTATGCCATATTTCTGACATAACCCTAACTCCACTGGGCTTTGAAAAAGTCATTGACAAAATGCCCATGTACTCAGCTCTAGACCCAGACTCGTGGAACTCAGTGTTCATTAAGAATGACAAGAAATCCCTTTCGCTTGCCTTAAGTATGGTATGGAGAGAGAGCATAGACACGGGTGTAATCCCACAGTCGCTAAAAACAACGAATATAGCCCCACTCCATAAAGGTGGCAGCAAAGCAGTAGCTAAAACTATATACCAATAGCTCTAACATCCCACATTATAAAAATCTTTGAAAGAGTTCTAAGAAGCATGATTTCAAATCACTTGGACTCCCAACAATTGCAAAATACAAGGCAGCATAGGCTTAGAACAGGTCTATTCTGTCTCTCGCAACTATTGCACTGCTGTAATATGGTCTTGGGTACACTGGAAGGCAAACAGAATGCAAATGTAGTATACACCAATTTTTCAAAAGCCTTTGACAAGTGCGATCATAGTGTAATAGCACATAAAATGCATCCTAAATGGATAATGGGCAAAGTGGGCAGATGGATCTTCAACTTTCTAACCAGTCGAACACAAAGAGTAGTGGTAAACAGAGTTAAGTCTGAGTCTGCCACAGTGAAAAAACTCTGTCCTACAAGTCACAGTACTCACCCCCATCCTGTTCCCTATCCTCATATTAGGTATAGAGATGTCATCCTTTGCAGATGATACTAGAATCTGAATGAGACTGTCATCCATTGAGGACACAGTAAATCTCCATGCAGATATAAACCGAGTTTTCCATTGGGAATGGAGAACAATGTGATGTTTGATGAAGACAAAATTTCAACTACAGTGCTACCCTGACTTAAGAGTGCCCCAACTTACAAGTTTTCTGAGTTACGAGCCGTCATTCGGTCAATTTTTTGCTTTGAACTGCGATCCAAAATCCAAGTTACAAGCGAGCTTCAGATATGCCGCTACTAGTTGGCGCAGCGAACTCCACAACAGTGCATGTGGTTACCTCGCTGTGGAAGCATCTCTCGTGTTGTGCTTGCGTTTTGTGCAGTTATTTTGCCAAATTTCTTTTTTCTAACCATGGTCCTAAGAAAGTAAGTGCAAAGGAGAGTTCTGAGAAGATGAGGATGATGTCCATTGAATTAAAGCATGAAATCATAGAAAAACACGAACGAGGTGTGCTATAGTCGGCTTAGTGAGGCAGTACAAGTGTAGTATGTACTTCATGTCTTGTGCCTTCTCTGCGAGAAGACACGAGGCATTTACGCTGATTTACTTCCAAGATAGTCACCCAAAACATGGGCCGATCTCCTGACTCGGGAAAAAATAAATCCGAGAAAATCGCTTTTGTTTTAGTGTTTTCCTTATGAAACTCGTGACCTAGTGCAGTTAGCCTCACAAACACTCCATTTTCTCTTATAATAAGACCTCAGAAGGGCAAGAATGGGAAGATGTGGTCAGAGTGATAATTATTTTTACCTTGGGAATGGCCGCCACCACTTGTCAAATAATGACATTTTATTCATTCTATAGTGTATATCATGCTTCTATGTTATTTATATTGTTTATTTTGTCATATTAGATCAATTGTGATAGATAAATCAGCCGTAGAATTGATATTAGCATTATATTGAAGTATTGTTTCCTGCCTCCTGAGAACCAGGAATTCCGCTGGAATGGATTAATGGCATTTCATTTAATTTCAATGAAAACAATTTATTTGATATACATGTTCAAGCAAACTGAATTACGAGCTAGGTCACGGAGTGAATTAAACTTATAAGTCAAGGTACCACTGTACTCTGTTATGGAAAACTGGAGGAAATAATATCTAGAACTGAGTATACTATAAACTCTAGTCACACAATAAAGTAGAAAAGTAGTGTGAAGGACTTGGGAGTGTAAATGTATGATGCTCTCACTTTTAAGGATCACAAAATTTTCACTCACATCTGCAAGGAAAAATTATAGGATGGATAATAAGAACCTTCAAAACAAGGGATGCCAAGCCAATGATGATCCTTTTTAAATCACTTGTTCTCTCTAGGCTGGTTACTGCTATGCACTAACAGCTCCATTCAAGACAGATGAAATTGGAGGTCTAGAGAATGTACAGAGAGCCTTTACTGCACATGTAAGTTCCGTCAAACACTTTACTTACTGGGAACGCTTAGAGGCACTTGATCTGTACTCACTGGAGCACAGGTAGGAGAGAAACATCTTATTGTACACCTGGAAAATCCTAGAGGGGCTGATCCCAAATCTGCACACAGAAATGACTATATATGAAAGCAAAAGATTGGGCAGATGGTGCAACATACCCCTAGTGATAAGTAGAGGCATCATTGGTACACTGAGAGAAAACACAATAAGTGTCTGGGGCCCAAGACTGTTCAACAGCCTCCCATCAGACATAAGGGGAATTACCAATAGACCCCTGCCTGCCTTCAAGAGGGAGGTGGACAGATACCTAAAGTCAGTACCCGACCAGCCAAGCTGTGGTTCATACGTTGCACTATGTATGGCCAACAGTAGCAGCCTGGTTGATCAGGCCCTGATCCATTGGGAGGCCTGGTCAAGGACTGGACTACGAGGGCATTGACTCCTGGAACACCCTCCAGGGTAGGTAGGTAGACTGTATTTATCTTATTTTTGGGCTCACATAAGGATATTCCATAACTAAGCTGACTAATAAAAATACAAATAATGCTGTGATTTTTTTATATTTTTTTTTTTATCACACTGGCCGATTCCCACCAAGGCAGGGTGGCCCGAAAAAGAAGAACTTTCACCATCATTCACTCCATCACTGTCTTGCCAGAACGGTGCTTTACACTACAGTTTTTAAACTGCAACATTAACACCCCTCCTTCAGAGTGCAGGCACTGTACTTCCCATCTCCAGGACTCAAGTCCGGCCTGCCGGTTTCCCTGAACCCCTTCATAAATGTTACTTTGCTCACACTCCAACAGCACGTCAAGTATTAAAAACCATTTGTCTCCATTCACTCCTATCAAACACGCTCACGCATGCCTGCTGGAAGTCCAAGCCCCTCGCACACAAAACCTCCTTTACCCCCTCTCTCCAACCTTTCCTAGGCCGACCCCTACCCCGCCTTCCTTCCACTACAGACTGATACACTCTTGAAGTCATTCTGTTTCGCTCCATTCTCTCTACATGTCTCGAACCACCTCAACAACCCTTCCTCAGCCCTCTGGACAACAGTTTTGGTAATCCCGCACCTCCTCCTAACTTCCAAACTACGAATTCTCTGCATTATATTCACACCACACATTGCTGTGATTTATATAGCACATTAATAAATCTCAGAGAATATTTTCCACAGCTTTATTGGACTTTTTGGTTAAGTGTGAAGTTGGTTGTGTAATAAATAAATGTGTCTATTTTATGTCATTTGTTGGAATTTTGTCTGTCATTCAAGTGATGATTAATCATTTGTTCAACATTTTACATTTTTCTCCCTCAGACAACGAAATGGATGGTGACGATGCTATAAAAACTCCCATAGAGGAGGTCAGTGGTGGATGGTTGCACCAGCTAGTTGTGTATGCTGCCAGGTAAGATACTTTGAAAATTTAAATGATTGAGGAAAAACATTGTAAAGAGGTATACCAAGACATGAAAATAATATTGTTTTTAAGTAAAATAAGCTGGCAAGTTAGAAATATAAACAGCCATTTTTTTTTTGTTTTTTTTTTTAAATTGAAAAGTGCATTGAGTGTGAAAAATGGAACACAGGGAGACAGTGCTAGGAAGCAAGGAAAGGCAAGATAGTTAAATAGATTCCGTAAATATATATAAGATTGTGTGTGTGTGTGTGTGTGTGTGTGTGTGTGTGTGTGTGTGTGTGTGTGTGTGTGTGTGTGTGTGTGTGTGTGTGTGTGCATGCAGACATGCACTATACACACACATGCACACTTTTTTTTTTTTTAACCTCAACAGCCACTTCCTGCCAAGGCAGAATGACTCAAAGAAGAAAGCACATTCACCTTCATTCATTTATATTATACAGTCATCCAGGATAGGGACTGTAAGAATAGTTAAATTATGATTAGCAGATCTAATTTTCCCCATAAGATTCCATGTCATAACTCGAGATGTGGACAGGACAGTAATTTCCCATGTGTAAAATGAGTTTTTCACATTAAGAATATCTAGGTTTCCTATAAGAGTTCATATTATCACTTGAGATTCGGACTGGGACAGTAATACAGTACTGTTGTTGCACATGTGTCTTACTTACCTGTACTGTGTTAGTAAGGATTCTGAATTGTATGGACTAAGGTCACTAGATACAGTAAAAGTCATGGTGCTTCCATAGCTATACAGTTAAAAATGCTTTTTATTGCTTTTAATAAATAGAGGGTGTCTCAAAAAAATGTCTACACTAATTCCCCATAGCTCTGTAACATTTTTGTTTTAGGTAAAAATTACCCTTAAAATGGATAATGACAGACTTATATTTAAACAACAGAAATTTGTACTGAAGTGGTACTGGAAATGTGAAAATGTAAATGGGGTCCAGAGACAGTTGAATCCCTTAATGAGAATGGAGTACAAGTGTATATGCACTAGTTTTTGGGACACCCTGTATAACAGTAGCACAGTATTATCTTTATAAATTTTGGCTTTACAGAAATCCATGGGAGTTTTGCTGGTACCTTCTACTCTGTCTTTCACCCATGTTCTTCATCTCAGCTATACTCTCCTGGAAATTGGCTAAAGCACTTGAGGCTCAAGAAAAGGTAACTTCTTGTACCTAATTTGTAATAGTCTAAAAAGCTTGCAAGTACAGTGGACCCCCGCTTAACGATCACCTCCCAATGCGACCAATTATGTAAGTGTATTTATGTAAATGCGTTTGTACGTGTATGTTTGGGGGTCTGAAATGGACTAACCTACTTCACAATATTCCTTATGGGAACAAATTCGGTCAGTACTGGCACCTGAACATACTTCTGGAATGAAAAAATATCGTTAACCGGGGGTCCACTGTACATGTTTGGTAAATAAAGCATTGAAGTGGTGATTGTTTGGCATGCTCTACAGAAGATGCACACAGCAAATTCATTTTTTTAATTGTGATGAATCTGTTTTAAAATTTTGGAGCCATAACTGGATAGTACAACCAGTTGTAAGTAGTTTGGTAGACTCAAAATAATGTTGTCTTTTCATAAAACTGTGACTAAATATATATGCACTGCCTCATTCCTCAATACAGAAATTTTATTTCTTTTGAACTTTGTATTCTTGGAATTAATCAACAAAAATTTGTTTGAGAAATATAGAGTTAATGCATATACTGATGGCAACTGTTGTATCTTTATCTCTATCTTGAATTTAAAATGTGGTTTTGGTGACCATTTCTTCAATTTTTAGCATGATTCAAATTGCAATACTGGTGCATTGTATACTGGTTCAAAATGTACACACATGCTTTAATTATTGTATTTTTCACTTATAGTGGCATGACTTGGGTTGTTTTGTCTCCTGCTGGTGGAATGGGAGAGCTGCAAAGATAGATCCATGTTCTATCATTTTATTTAGCTAATTATTTACAAGTAATTGCAGTGCAAAGAACTTGCTGAATATACTTTTGTGATTTATGGTACAATTTCAAGGTTATCTGTAAATAAGATATCTGTATGCTATCAGAAGAGGGTATGCATTGTTATACACTTCATATTTTACGGTGTGGTTGATAAGAGTATGAAGTACTAATAGATGTAAATATGGGAACATAAGATTGGCAGTAAACTTCATTTGAGATGATGTTTTGTTTATATGAAATCTAATAGATGCACAGGGCCTAGCCACAGCTAAAGCAAAAGACATTGAAGTGAACCCAAACAGAATGGGAGTGTGGGAGAGATTCACAAAGGACAGTTTGTTACTACCTAATTAATAGTGTTCTTAATTTATTTGCCAGTGTTGAAGTATTTAATGGCAACAACTTCTGTACCTTCTCCATGGGGAAGTGGAACAGAATTCTTCCTCTGTAAGCCATGCATGTTGTAGGAGGCGACTAAAATGCCAGGAGCAAGGGGCTAGTAACCCCTTCTCCTGTATATATTACTAAATTTAAAAGGAGGAACTTTCGTTTTTCCTTTTGGGCCACCCCACCTCGGTGGGATATGGCTAGTACGTTGAAAGAAAGAAGAACTTCTGTACTTCAGTATGTAGTAGGTTGGTAGACAGCAACCACCCAGGGAGGTACTACCATCATGCCAAATGCATGTGGAATATGTAGTAGGTTGGTAGAAACCTGTATTTATTTTACACCATGGTAGGATTGCTAGTGTATTTCTTTTATGTCTCATCAACACACAACAAAACAGGTACATCTTGCTACTTCTACTTACTCTTAGGCACACTACATATACATGTACACATATATGTATTCACACCAATATGAATATGTTTCTATTTTCTAAATAGTTCTTGTTCATATTTATTTCATTTCATCTCCATGGGGAAGTGGAAAAGAATCTTCCCTCTGTAAGCCATGCATGTCGTAAGAGGCGACTAAAATGCCAGGAGCAGTGGGCTAATAACCCCTTCTCCTGGAGTATACGTGGAGAACGTTTTAGGGGTTAATGACCCAATGCTCCAGTCTGTGATCAGGCCTCGCAGTGGATTAGGGCCCAATCAACCAGGCTGTTACTGTTGGCCGCACGTAAACTGACATATGAGCCACAGCCTGGCTGATCAGGAACTAGCTTTAGGTACTTGTCTAGGGCCTTCTTGAAAACAGCCAGGGGTCTTTTGGTAATCCCCCTCATGTAGGCTGGGAGGCAGTTGAACAGTCTTGGGCCCCTGACACTTACTGTGTTGTCTCTTAGTGTACTCGTGGCACCACTGCTTTTCATTGGGGGAATGTTGCATCTCCTCCCAAGTCTTTTGTTTTCATAGGGAGTGATTTTTGTGTGCAGATTTGGGATTAGTCCTTCTAGGATTTTCCAAGGGTATATTATCGTGTATCTTTCTCGCCTGTGTTCCAGGGAGTACAAATCAAGGTGACTTCAACCATTCCCGTAATTTAGGTGCTTTATCATACCTATACGTGCCGTGAAAGTTCTCTGTATATTCTCCAGGTCTTCAATTTCACCTGTCTTGAAAGGGGCCATTAATGTATAGCAGTATTGTAGCCTAGAGAGAACAAGTGATTTGAAGAGAATCATCATGGGCTTGGCATCCCTAGTTTTGAAGGTTCTCATTATCCATCCTACCATTTTCCTAGCAGATGTGGTAGATACATTGTTTTTTGCTCTATTATGTAGCTGGAATTTGTTTTATACTCCAATACAGTTTTAATTTCATCAAGTTTTCCATAGCAGAGTAATTGAAATTTGTCTTCGTTGAACTTCACATTGTTTTCAGCAACCCATGTAAAGATTTGGTTGATGTAGCTTGGAGGCTTGCAATGTCTTCAATGGATGACAGTGTCATGCAAATTCTGGTGTCATCTGCTAAGGAGGACATGGTGCTGTGGATTACATCTCTGTCCATGTCAGATATGAGGATGAGGAACAGGATGGGAGCAAGTACTGTACCTTATGCAACAGAGCTTTTCATGTTAGCCACCACTGACTTTACTCTGTTTACTATTACTCTTTGTGTTCTTTTTGTTAGGAAGTTATAGATCCATCTACCAACTTTTCCTTTTATTCCTTTGTCATGTATTTTGTGTGCTATTGCACCATGATCACACTTGTTGAAGGCTTTTTCAGTCTGTGTATACTACATTTGCATTTTATTTGTCCTCCAGAGCATCCAAGATCATGTCATAGTAGTCCAGTAATTGGGAGACCTGCTCTAAACCCATGCTGCCCTGGGTTGTGCAACTGATGGGTATCTAAGTGGGTGGCAAACTTGTTTCTTAGAACCCTTTCAAAGATGTTTGTGATGTGGGACGTTAGTGCTATTGGTCTGTAATTCTTTGCAATTGCTTTACTGCCATTTAATAAAGCTGGGCTGTTTGAATGTGCATGGATGTAGTGAAGATGATAAGAAAGAAAAGATTGCAATGTTATGAAGGAAGTTTGGTGTCCAAGCTCTAAGTGAAACAGAGCTGAGGGAGTTAGTGGAGTATCAATTGGGAGAAATAAATGGGATTAGGTCAGGAGTATCTGAGAGAGTATAGAGTTAATTAAGGTATTACAACCCAGGAGTCCCAAAGGCCTGTTATCCTGGGTGTAAAGGGAGCAAAATAAACACAGCAGAAAAACTTTTGACTTGTTTTATCCTTCACCAGTTTAGAACAGAAGTATGTACACTATATACACTATGTACAACAATAGGTATTAGTGGACTCCACAGTAAGCAAGGCAGAATAGAAGCCACTAGAGAGCAGACCGTGCTTCAACCAGCTCTAGAATGGGAATGACAAGGGCAGACAGGTGAGTGGCACCCACAACACCTCTGTGAATGCCAAAACCATCTTCTTATTGGCTGGAACCTGGGTACTGATTGAACGACGGGGGCCCCATCATCAACCCTTAGTACCTGGTTTGCTGGTTGGGGGAGATAGCCTTTCAGTGAGGGTGTGTATATGCACCGAATAAAGGTTACGTACTCTTTGCATGCCACACCCCCACCCCGAGAGGGGTCAGGCTTAGGCTCCCACCTCCCATTGGTAACCGTGCCACCATGGCACCATATAATGGGACCGCCTTTCCTCTCAACCATCCAACTCTTAGATAAAGCTCAGCTTTATTCGCGACAAAAAGCCAAACCCTAAACTTAGAGTGAGATAGCAGACAGTCAGGCTAATGTAGGTCCAAAGTGCGGGAGGACAGTATCCCGCACTCTCTCTCTTAAAAAAAAACCCACAGAAGGGGAAAAAAAAAAAAAAAGAGCTTGAAAGCGGTTACCAAAGGTCCTTAACATATCCTAACCTAATATATAATTATAATTTTTAGACTAGATAAAGAGTCTGCCAACTTATTTTCTTTGCCGGCAATGTGTAATATTCTGAGATAATAGGGTTGCAGTTGTAGGCTCCATCTCATGAGCCTCGTATTGTGGTTCTTCATGGCTTGGAGATATACTAGAGGGTTGTGGTCACTATAGACAGTGACCACCTGTGAAGTCTGGCCCACGTAAACATCGAAGTGCTCCAAAGCCAGTACCAGCGCGAGGGCTTCTTTTTTCGATAGTAGAGTAAGCCCTCTGGTGCGGCTGGAACTTTAGTAAGAAGAAGGCTACAGGCTGCAACTCCTTGTCCCTGTTTTGCAACAGTACTGCCCCAACCCCAGACTCACAAGCATCAACCTGTAATGAGAAAGGTTTGGAGAAGTCTGGAGACAAAAGAATGGGTGCAGTACACAATAATCTTTTTGCTTTCGTTAAAGCATTTTGACATTCTGGGGTCCAATTAAAGGAAACTTTGTGGCTGGTAAGAGAGGTAAGAAGGGCTACAATGTCTGAAAAATTTCTACAGAATCTTCTGTAAAATCCTATCATGCCTAGGAAATGTTGAAGAGATTTCCTATCATGTGGAACTGGATAATCTTTAATGGCAAGAACTTTATCAAATTTAGGAGCAACTTTGCCACTACCTACTTCATGGCCTAGAAAAGTAACAGTGGCCTGGCCAAAGGAAGACTTAGATAAATTAACAGTTAAATGGGAACTCTGAAAGGTCTCAAAGAGAGCCTTAAGTCTAAATAGGTGTTGATCCCAAGTATCAGACACCACTACGATGTCATCCAGGCACGCTGCCGTGCCTTCAAGTCCTTTAATA